TAGGATATATTTCTATCCCCCATCCGACCCTACGATGATTTATACATTATCAAATTCATTCCTCTTCTTTCGAATAGATGAAACAAATCACCAAAACTACACAATTATGGGGCCCATAATCATGGAAGCAATTAAATGCATATAAATCATTCAAACAATCAATACGTATTTCAATGTCAAAATACGAAACAAAGAATTAAATATTACATTACAAGGTTCATCGATCTCCTAGTATATATTTTTCTAGCCTAACATGATGGGAAGAAGAACACAACAATAAAAATCAAGAAAAGACATCACCTTATTGAAATTCTTGAAGTGAGACCTTGATTTTGGATTGAATCTTCTCGTTCTTCCTTCTTCTTTCTCTTCAAATCCTACCAAAATAATGTATAATGCGTGGTCTCTATTTTTGGACGTCTCTAGGGCTTTAAAAGACTCTCCAAGATTTGTTTCCATAAGAATTCCATTCAGAAAAGGAAATCATATTTTCTCGCCACGATTGGCTTGGGCTGTCACCCAGGCAAAACTCGGGCAGTCGCTTAGGCCAAGAATTTCTTATCGGTAATTAAAAAATCATGTTGGGCGATCGCCCGATATTTATAACTGGGCAGTCGCCCAGGCAAGATTTCTTCCATATGTTGTATTTTAGCCCCCGAAGTCGATTTTTGATTCTTTTAAGTCCTTTCTCTTTCATTTTCAACTCTTTTACTTTTAATTGCATCCAATTGAACCCGCAATATCTTTAATCTTCATTTTGTGTCCGAATAAACTATTGAAATGTTGCAACTTAGTCCTCATCATTTGGATTTTATTCCTTTTTGGTTCTTTTTCATTTCTTTTCTCTTGAATTCCACCACATTCATCAATGTAGTCCTACAAAACATAATTACATAGAATTAAGCCATAATTCAAACTCTTTGATCATAATTAAGTCATGTTTTTTGAACTAAATAAGTGTGTAAAAACACACATATCAATGCCATTGAAGGTCAGCTGTTGGATCTTGCTTCACTTCATCCCAGATATCCATTTAATCAGAAATTTGAACCGTTGAATTAAAATGAGCCTCAACATCAATGTCCGAGTTTGATGAGCATACTAAATGCACTAATCCTTACGTTGGCCTAAAAATTTGGACATGCACCATCATTGCACATCAAATATAATGGCTGGTATGTGTATCGAAAGTTGAACAGCTCTAGTCGTCTTTTCTTGGTAACGTACAAAACATCAAACCATTGCTATGATTACATCTATCCAATTTAAGGAAAGAGCTTTAGCAGGTCAACACTTCGCTAATTCAACTCACAAATCAAATTTTACTACTTCCAATCTAAACAAGGAGCTTCAGCAATTAGCACTCCTCTAATTATGATCACAAACAAATTTCATCTATTTCATCTACTTCTAATTTAAATAAGGAGCTTTAGCAGTTCAACACTTCGCTGCTTTAGCTTACAAATCAAATTTAAGCTACTTCTAATTTAAACAATGAATTTCAACAGCTCAGTACTTTTTGCTTTAGCTTACAAGTCAAATTTTGGCTACTTCTTATTCAAATGAAGAGTTTTAGTAGTTCAACACTTTGCTGCTTCAGCTAGCAAATCAAATGTCAGCTACTTCCAATTTAAATGAGGAGTTTCAGTAGTTTAGCACTCATTGAGAACAAGACAGCATGTGAGGACTAGGTTACTATTTCAAAATTTAACTACGATATCAATATCTATACTTAGATTTGGGGGACAAAAACATGACCATTGCAAGAAAATATTCGCCTCAACAAGGACACAATGTACAAAAAATAAGTCCATGCATAATATGAATAATCATAATAGACTTTGGGGACTATTGTTTCACCTCTTTGCCAAAGCCCCTATATGGCCTCTCCAATGAGGCCCCATGAGGAGCCTACGAAGCATCCTGTGAGAAGCAAGACGAGGCTTCTCTCTGACGTGGCAAACTAAAAAATTGAAACTCTACCAACGAAGCACTGTAGCAAAAGGTTTTATCCGAAGATCATTCGTGACCCACTTCCATTGAAGATCTCCTAATTAATAGAATCTTATTTGAATGATTTATGCGACCCCTATAATAAATAGGATAGCTATGACCCTTTGAATACCTACAGATGAATGAAATCATAATCAAATCAAATAATATAATGGTGAATGAAGTGTCGATCTCATGAGGACTATGCGTTTAATCGAGTTAAAGCTATTAATATCCTTAATCGAATAACAATACAGAATTCTAGTAAGTCAATGTCTAATTTATCAAATAACTTGAAACCAAGCAAATTTGTATCAAATTTGTAAGATGTATTGCCAAGATGAAGAATCCCCTTTGTCAATCTACTTTTAATTCCACAATTTAAATTAACAATTTGAAAGGAATTTGGTTGGTTAATGTTCATATTTTAATTTAAAGCTTCTCTCGATAGAAATTAAATCTAATCTTACATGTGCCTTTCCTACATCTCTATGAAAGATATTACATATAAGAAAACATTAAATAAGCTAAAACATCTATAGATACCATGTGAAGCATGCAGATATATCTTTATTCTCTATCAAACCTCACAATGTTTCATCACTATGTGCTATTGATCATATATCTCTGTCGATGATAATAGAACCCACAAACAATTTAACTAAGTAGCCAAATAATTGAAAAGCAATTTAAACCATGATAAACATCCAATCATCCAAAAAAATTAAAGAAAAATCAATTATTTATACCAAAAATCTCATAACAAGAGTTCATCTCATCCTAGCAACGTGAAAATCTAATGAGCATAATAAAATTACAAGAAATCTCTCTAAATTTGATAAACACCACCCGAAAATCAAATAATTGACAAAAACAATGAATTCTTGATAGCTCGAGTCTTTCCTCCCAATGCTTGTGCAAATTTTCTGGTATGAAGTCTCATTAATGATTTCTTGCAATTCCTTGGTTGAATTCCATCACAACTTTGATATTTTCTCTCTTCTTCAATATGATTTTCTCAAAATCTTTTAGTACTTGAGGTATTTTGTAGCATGAAAGAATCTCCCCATGTGCATGGGACGTTCCGGTTTTTATATGGCTCGAATTTAGGTATAAGATATCGCTCAAAACCTTGCCAAATTGAGTTTTAATCATACAAGAAAACCTGAGATTCAACTGAAATCTTGCTCTATGCTATTGCATAGTACATTGGGATGCAACTGTATAGTTTACTTGTTGAACTCCAAATTCCTGACTCTATGTGCGGATGTAACCGCATGGATTTTAAACTATGCAACCATATAGTTATTATTTTTCTGTTGGACAGTCTTTAGTATTTTTGTTATATTTTTCTCTCTCGATATTCGATTGAAATGATTCGATGTGCATCGGAAAGATAACTCAAAGGGGTAAAATTCTTCTAGAGATATCATTTTTCCAATTCGGACATTTGCTATGCCCAAAATGGGCCTCAAATGGAGACTAAAAATCTAAAGCAAATCCAAGTTCGGAGAGTAAAGTACAAATACTCAAAAATTGTGACATACTTCGAATCAATAATTGGAGATTGATAGAATCAATTGGATGCAATAAGAAGTCATGAAATATAATCGAAATATTTTTACAAATAAATTTTTAACTGTAAAAGGCGTATTCCAGATTTTCAATTAGAGTTTGAGACCCATTTTTGGAATAGTAAACTTTTGAACTAGAAAATTTATACTTCTAGAAGAATTGTGGCCCTTTACAGCAGTTTTTCAATACATTTTGAATCACCTCAATCGGTTATTGAAAGAGAAAGTTATAATCAAAATACTGAAGCCTATGTAGAAACGAAATCATGCTCGCGAAGACAACTTACCTTATTTGATTGAAACTCCTTTGGAAAGTAAGTTGAACATGAATCTTAATCTAATTTCATCATATAAAATACATGACATGGGCAGCCATTGAAGGAGCTCTCTCTCACTTCTTAAATTAGATCCATATCATAAAATCATTTAAGAACATGGGACAAATTCAATATAAGTTGGAGAGGAGAACAAATCTAGCGAGGGATTGAATCAAGAAGCATTAAGAACGTGAAGAATCAAATCTCAAGGTTGATAATGAAGAACAAAAATTGGATCGTGACATCTTTTTCTTTTATTTATGAATTTCAGGTGATGTTCTTCCATTTTTCTTTTTATTTTATCATTAGAAACGTGTTTAACTAGATTTTTATTGTATTAGTTGATTGATGAAACCTTTCCATCATTTATTTTAATTTAAGACGATTAATTTAGTATTTTTTTTTTATTTTCTTGATTAGTTTTGCAAACAAATCACTCTTTTGATGTTTCGCGCACTTGAATTTAGAAAAAGTTATTGAACTAAGCATTAAATATTATTCGTTGTGAAAACGACAAAATTGAAACTCACTATTTCTATTAATTGTACAATAATTTTCCGTACGCTTACGAGTTTCAACGTAACAGCTCCAATGGCACTTAAAAAACGATTGTAAAAATTGCGTTTGAGAGTTGCATCCGTTGATTTCATTGGGAAGTGGTCATGATTAAATGCATCAAGAAGTCAATGAATTTGCAACTTTACGTTAATTATGAAAATTGACTTACAATTATTTTTTTTTTAACTAATTTATTTAATTATAGTTGACAACCGGATTTCAGTTGCATGCTATGGCGCTATACCCTTTGTCTTTATCGAGTTGGTGTCGAAATTTATTACATTAATACTCGTAGTAGTAAACAAAGTCGGAGAGAAGAGTTGAACAAAAATTAAAAAAAAAGGGATTAGACTCGAAAGCAGAAAAAGGAGGAGAAATCTTCAAAAGCTTGCACATTAAGCAAATAATTCTGCACATTAATCTTCAAATACTAATAATATAAAAGCAATTGAACTTTTATTTTTCGCACCTTTTTTTTTAAAGAAATCAGACAATAGACTGCACAACCCTGCTTCTTGAAGTAAACTCTCCTTGTTTTATCATATAATATGCATATGTAAATGTAAACGTGTTCCTGTGTTTGTTGCTTCACGCACACTCTTGTCTCTCCACACACACACACAAACCAGTTGAAAAATGAAAATCTTATAGCTTCTTTATCATCTGACCAGGATTAAATTATTCCTTCTCAAAATTTGGTTTTTTACCCCCTTATAAATTCCTGTATTTTGTTACCTCAAATCTCAAGCATTAAGTCTTTTTGTACTATTGTTTTGAGTGAAAGAGATCTTAATTTGGGGTGGATTTTTTGTATCTACGTTCATCATGAGTGTGTGTTGTGATCTTCAAGTAGATGTGAACGGGGAACAAGTTTTCCTGGTGAATAAGGTAAAGATTGCCTTTGCTTGGCTTCTTTGTTCTTCTGTTTTGTCTTTGTGATGGAACCCCATTAATGAAATCTGTTTTATTTGGGTTTGTCTGAATGTTACTTTTCGTTCTTACAGAGCATAATTTGGCTTGAATTTAACATTTGTTATGTCCAAATTGTACTCTTCATAGTAGTAATTTACAACAAATATAAATCAGTAATCTTTAACTCATTTATTCGGAAATAGCTTTAAAAAAAATAAATAAATAAATAAATAAAAGTGCTTCTTATAGTTGCTATTTGACTCCAAATGTTCTTGAAAAAGTCGAGGAATTTCGAATTGTCTGTTGACAATGACAAAAGTCTAGGGAAATTTTTATATGGGTTCTTAGGAAAGTTTATCATCCAACAAATTATTGTTATCATTTATCTTTAAGTTTTTAGCTGTAATGATAGAATATAGAGTTTGTTCTATTTTATGTGGGTTAATGTTTGCCTACCCACATTAACTTGTCACCATTTTGACAAAGAAATCACTTATTTTGTATTTTATGAGCCTACTCTCATTTATTGTTGCATTTATGGAGATTTGATGTTCATAACTTTTCTTTAGTTTCTTCCACATCTTTCCAATGACGAAAATGATTGATCTACTTTTAATTGCCACTGTTCTTTCCCTTGTCTGCTGGGATTGTTAGCATACCTATTTCTTGATTCCCTTTCAAACAATTTATTATGTATAACGACCTTTCGTTGTTCTTTTTACGCACGTTGTGTCTACCCCCCTGTTATAGCCAATTCTGGGAGTGGATTTGTTTGCATTGATAGCTTTCATTGGTAAGGTAGGATTGCTTCCATAATTGTTATTCCATAACCTCTGCAGTTTGATTATGATTCATGTTTTGGGGTTGTAAACAATTTTCATTTATGTATCCGTTTGATATTTACATGTTTTGCATACCAGCTTCTACTTGTTCTCTCTGTGACACTGCAAAATGCTATTCTTATCCAATTCTGATTTTTAAACAAATCGTTGCAGCAAGTTATATCTTATTATTCGGGAAGAATAAGCAAATTGTTCAGTAAATCGAACAGGGCAACACGAAATCTGAAGGTTATATTACACAAGTTTCCTGGAGGAGCAGAGACTTTTGAGCTCTTGACCAGGTTCTGCTACAAGAAGGGCAAAATTCACATAAATCCCATTAGCGTTTGCAACCTACATTGTGCTGCACATTTCATGGAAATGAGTAAATCTTTCTCAGGAACTCAAAATCTGATTGAGCAAACTGAGAAGTTACTTGAAGGCATGAAGTTTTGGACATGGTCTGAACTTCTTGTGGCCCTAAAACAATGCCAAGATTTACTCCTTGTTGAAAAATCTTCAGGGATACTTGAAAAGTGCTTGGATTCTCTAATTGAAAGGCTTTCCTCCTGTGAAGTGAGTCCTTGTCCATCCACCTCCTCTACAGATAGTTCTGAATTTTTGTCGTCATGTGACACGGGAAATACAGAGCGCATGAAGAACAGTTTAACATGGTGGTTTGAAGATCTTGGAGCATTTGACGTCAACCTGATTGAAATGCTAGTGAAGATGATGGTATTGAAGAATTTTAACCCTAGTATCATTAGTAGGTTCCTCTTTTACTATCAAAAATCCAGATTTGCTTCTGCCACTTCAGACGAGAAAATTAAGATTGTTGAAACAGTTGTGGAGATGCTATATCCTTTGAATTTGAGCACTTTGTCGTACAAGAGTTTATTTGGGATTCTTCGAGTTGCTTTAAATTTAAACATAAGCAAATGCTGCAGGAACAAGTTAGAGAGCTTGATTGGTTCTCTATTAGATCAAGCAACATTAGATAATTTGCTCATTCCATCCCCAGCCGAGAGAACTTACCTGTATGATGTGGATTTAGTTCTTAGATTTTTGAAATATTTTCTTGGCAAAGGAGCTTTTTGTTTGCCAATGAGTCGGCTAAAGAAAGTTGCAAACTTGATCGATTTATATATAGCTGAAGTTGCCCCAGATCCTAACCTAAAACCGGAGAAGTTTTTGGCCTTAACCATGGCCCTGCCTAACTCTGCACGGGACTCTTATGACAGAGTTTACCATGCAGTGGATTTGTATTTGGAGGTAAGTAAACTCCTTTTTATGCCTCATGATGTGCTATCTATTGCCATTTAGCCGGAGCACGATGCAATATATCACTTTTCTATGCCGTTTCTGGTGTTCTGTTCTTACATTGGATAACTATTATGATGTTTGCAGGTTCATTCAGGGCTGTCTGAAGTAGATAAAATGAGAGTCTGTAGTGGAATAAATTACGAGAAGCTCTCATCGGAAGTCGCTAACCACATCGCTCAAAATATCAAAATCCCTCCAAAATTAGCTGCCGAAGCCCTCGTCTCCCAGCACTGCAAACTTAAAAGCTTGCTCGAAGACACAGACCAGCCAAAACCTGTCATGGACTCTACTTGTAGTTTCGTCGAAAGGGAATGCAGGCGAAAGAAGAACAAAACCCATGAACAAATCGTGCTCTATGCAAGGAAGCTCAATCTTTCCGACGAGAACAAGAAGCTAAAAGTGCATTTGCAAGGTATGCAATGGAGAGTGCTGGAATTGGAAAAGGTTTGCAAGAAAATGCATACTCAGATGACAAAAATGATGAAATCAAGATTGCCAAACAACACTACTCCTAAATCTATACCTAGGCTTTGCTCATAATTATAAATCTTATTGAATTGTAAATTATTTAATCTTTTTTACCACCATTTTCACATTAAATGTACATATCTATCTTAAGGAATATTGTTCTTTTGTAATTGCAGCAAATTTTGAAGCTTTTTTAAAAGTCTATGTTATATTCAAGCAGAAACTGTTTATTCTCTGTAACATGCCTTGGGATTAATGGTGCAGTAAGGTTAAGTCCCTTTCCATATCATTTTCAAGTGGAAACAATCCACGACAAATTGTCTGTGGAATTATTTTATACTCATCGGAGCAAACCTACTTCAAATTGGTCCCTCGTGTTTCTTCATGTACATGCACACATTTACAAAATAGGATAAGATAAAGAAGGCTAAGGTTGAAAATGCATCGTACATTCTAAGCATTTGTTTGTCAACTATTCTACCACATTATTTTTTCTCTAGTTCTCATTTTCAATTACACATTCCTTATTAAAATAATATACACATAAATAAAATAAAAAATCTTCTTTTTTAACCACACATTTCAACATCAATCATTATTTCATAATACACCTTTTGAAATTAAAGGGGCACAAATAGGCCCTAATTGTGGTCGAATTTGAAGAAAAAAATATTTACGTTTTAGTAATGTCCAAATGGATGAGTCAGTCCAGGCAACCCACTTGAATGCAAACCTAAATTCAAGCGCGTAGCTAGCCTTAACCTGCTTGTCTAAATGTTTGTTTGTGAGAGATTTTTTAAAACGAAGAATGATTTTTATCTATTTATTTATTTATTATTTTTATTTTTATTTTTTTGAGTTTGTGGAATAAGTAGTATGAGAAAGTTATGAATCTACGTACAAAATTATTTTATTGGGCGAATGTAATTCAAAATAAATTTAAGAAAAATCATTTCCATATAAATTGTGCTAAACAAACCTTTAAAATGTGATCAAAGCGTAGCTCGAACTGTCGTCCAAATCTAAGAACTAGAATAGCACAACCCACTAATATTGTGGGATGAATTGGTCAAATTCATTGTATTTTTTTTTTTTTTCCAAAAAGTTAATAAGATTAAAATTATGCTAATTTTGAACAAATTCTATTGTCAATGATGCTATTCCCCCATTAAATTGTTAGTGAAAATTTAAAAAATAACTTCTAAGTGGAAATTACTATTAATTAATAGTAGAGATATTAAATTAAGCATGTTTTAAATAGTTAAATTATATTAACAACAATTTTAAAAGAATTACAGTGTAAATGATACTCGAAAATATATTTTAATCCAATGTAAAAGTCTAATATGAAAAATATTTATAGTGTGAAAAGTTAGTGTATGAAAGTATCGGTTGAGTTAATGGGTTAGACAATCAAGCTTCACATAATCGTTCAGTATGACAGACTACCATGTGAGTAGAGTTGATTTCAGTTTGGAATTTTAGCGTGGCCCAATTAATTTTGACACCAATGCACAGGATATCAATAACTACAATGAACTAAATTATCGATTATAATTGTAACATAATTTATAGAGTATAAGATTGAATAGTTTCTTAACAAAATTTCTACTTATTTCTTTTAAAAGAAAAGGCAATTAGGAAATGTGATTTGTTCATCCAATCCCAATTGAATTGAATGGTTTAATTTGATTTAACTATTTCAATCAAATAAATATTTTTTATTCGATTTTCATACTACAGATAGAATTTTGTAATTAGTGACTTGTAATAATAAACTTTCAACTCTTTTCGATTCAAAATTTAAGTCAAAATCGACAATTAATTTTAACGATATATTTTATAATATCTATAACTTTTTAATCACACACTTTATTAACTTTTATCAAAATCTAATAAAAATGTGATTTTTTTTTTCTAAACCAAATAGGGTTAAATATGTTTGGGGGAGGAATATTGCTTGAAATTATGCCATATATTTACCAAGTGTGATGATGCCGTCATCTTGTTGTACAAATAGAAAAAATTTTCTTTTTTTTTTTCCGATCCTACTCTATCGTTTTATGTTTTTTTACCTTTTACTTTCATTATTAAATTTTATGATTCAATTCCATGTGGTTCCTATAGTAAACAACAAAATTTCCAAAAGTAATTGATTGCCGAAAAGGAGCATTTGTCTTTTTCCAGTTGTTGAAATTCGTCAAAAATTACATGGTTGTATCCGGTTATACCCTAGAAGTGCTTGCAAATGCCCAAATTTAAGGCTTTCGATTGGTTGATTAGGTCGGCCAAACAAATCATCATAAGGTTAAGGTTGTAACTGTGACCTAGGTCATGATTACTTGTAACCTAGATTATCATCTCATTTCTAATTCGTTGAAAATGAGGTGCTGACGTCATGGGTTGGAGCGATCATCTAGGTGGTGATGACATCACTTAGAAGACGTGTTCATAATTGTAATTATGAAGTTTTTAGATTACGATGACTATAGGTTGAGTTAACCTGTCATGAGCCAAATTGATCTTGAGATCTCTTAGTCCATCTTTTTTGACGTGATTATTGAATCTTCATAAAACTCTCCTTAAATTAAGGTGGGTCCAAGCTGGTTTGTTAGTTTTGAACGCCAACAAATGTCCTCCAAGGTCTGAATGCTTACTTCATTAAAGTTTGGAGCTTTGTTTTCTAATTCCGAGTGACGAGGTGTCATGGCTTCATTAATTTGGCAAGCGTTTAATGGATGTGCCTTTCAAAGTGGCTTATGGGGGAAGCTTCCATTTAATGAATCTTAACTGCTCATTTTCCCTCAATATTATAATTTATAGTAAGCACGTGCTTTGCAAGTTTTATGCATCAAATGATGATATACATAATGTTTCTGAAGTACTAAACATTGGCAATAAATGTCTACGCTGGTTCAAATCCAACTTGGCCCAATAATTTGCCCTAGAAGGTAATTTTAATATGACCTATTTTCCCTCTTTTGTAATCAATTCTCTACAACAAATGTATTTATTATGGACGCTTTATTCAGTCTCTTATTGTTTTTTTAAAATAGTTGAGGTAACTGATATAGTTAAGATAAAAATTAAAAGTGTTAAAAAGAATAAAAAAAATTATGAATTATTTATATAATGTGAAAATGTTGAATAAACTAAAATGTAATATTTTGATTACAATAATATTTCTTTGTACACAACTTTTTTTCTCAATGTTCCACAACTTTTCTAAACTAAATGTACATAAATGATTCAAAATAAAAATTTACTTATTTTGTCCGTAACATGAACTTTTTTTATCTAAAAAAGAAAAAAAAAGTATCTTATCTAAACACATTTAGAAAAAATTATATACTAATCATGCTCGTCATATTAATCCATAGCATTTATTTTAAATTAAAAATCAAAGTTACATTCAAAACAAATATAGAAGTGAAAAATCTTAAACAAAAGTTTTCTTTTTCTTTTGAAAGAGATTAATACAAATGGAAGAATAAAATTTCTCCCTTTAAATGTATCAAGATAAAAATATTTTTTCTTTATTTATTTATATTAAATAAGTAATTGGATTACCATCAAATTTTATGTTTATATGAAATGAACATGAAACAATAATAAAATACACAATACTATATTAATTATTTTTTAAAACACATAATATCAATTTTTATTAATATCTAAAAAAATTTAATTCTAGTGAAAAATGTATAATTGAGATGCGAAGCTTGTATTTAGTTGGGTGGATACAAATATGGGAAGGATAAGTAACTTAGAATTATTAGGAGTAATTAGTAAGGTTTTCAAGATTGATGAATGATTTCTCACATCTTCGACTCTTTCCCTCCTAATTGTTGATCACATTCAAATTTTTTTCTTTCAATTATTTGTCCTTTGTATTTAAATAGTTATATTACATGTTATATTAATTAAACGTGCAATTTATAGTCTTTGAATGAAAATTTCGATAATGTTATATAAGGACAAAATGGTAAATGGAACGTTTCTCATCTATCTCCACATTTAATTTCTATATATATTGTAATTATATTATAATTATACAAGTAGATGAACGTTGATTTTAAGTGAAGCTCACATATATAAATAATGTATATACATATGAAATTATATTATAATATATTAAATGTGACATTAATGTAGCTTAATTACAATAACTTCATGTAATCCTCCTTTTAAATATATTGCTCATTTTCCATATTGGAGTACTCAAATTTTGATATTAATCAAATTAAGTTTAATCACTTAAAATCAAAGCTCGTCTATTATATATATAGTAATTAATCTACCATTACATTTGTGCAACCTTTAGTATATTATATTTTATAATTATAATAAATTTACATCTATATATGATAGCTTCAATTTTGAGTAATTAAACTTAGTTTTAATAATGTAATTTAAATAAATAAACTTAATTTGATAAATATAAAATTTCAAGCACTCTAATATAAAAAAATGAATTTACACTTAAATGGAAATACATGCAAACAATAATACGACGTGAAAAACATGTGTAAAAAACCTCGAGATGTAATTTTTCACGTGCTATTTACGTGTGTAAACTCATTTCATGTGCTTTTTCACATGGCATTATTGTTTTGAGGTTCATTTTTGTTTTTATTATCTTTTGAAATCATGACCTTAGCTCATCTTTGTAGATCCTAACCTTGAGATAACGAGTTTTTGGGAAGCTTGTCAATTCTACAATACCACAGGGGACAAAAGAGGAAGATACCTATTGTTGTGGAAGATCTCTTGAAAGATCTTCAAATCGGTGATTTCCAACCAGCTCAATTCAATGTACATTTCTCAACTAACAACCAATACAATCAGCTTCAAACCACAACCAATTAATTCAACTCGATTGCTATTCAATCTTATCTATGTAGGACAAGAAAAGATGATGATTTGTGGCCAAGAAGGCTAGGAGAAGACAGGACAAAGGTATACTATGAAGGAACCACCAATTGCACACATTAAACAAGCATTTTGGACACTTCTAGAGGCCTTTTTTCACACACAAAGAGGGCAGCCGGGATTCCTCCTTTTCTCACACAAAACATCACTTGAAAGTGGCTAGGGTTACAGCCATATATATACTCTAGGGTTAGACTTTAAGTCAGACCTTTAAAGAGGTAAACGGGCCAAGATTCAAGCCATCCAAGCGGAAATACAATTGGGCCGTGTAACTCATAAACTTGGTTGTTTGACTTATTTCAT